ATTTCCCTTTGGATAATTATATATTCCAAGGTAAACGAATGGGAAAAGTGTAAAGCAGTACTATTTACCACTAAGAACCTTAGCTAGTTTATAAACAAAACATAACATTTGCACTACAGAAGAGTCAAAGTGGTGAGTAAATCCCTGATAATTGATGTAAGATTAATTCCGTTGGGGAATAAATTGAAGAGACAGGTCAAGATGAACTCAATCCACTTGTTTACTTTGAACATGCAAAGTCCCATTTTTTGGATCTAAACTTTTTAGCACAGTTTTCTCTGATGACATAGAATTTTCATGTTCTAAACTATGGTTTTATTCAGTAAAGTATAGATTAGCAAGTCAAAGTCTTCACTTGGCTAGTGAATTTTTCTTTTATATCACTCTGCTTTCAGGGAAGGAAGTAAATGAGAGGAAACCAAACAATGTCCCAAAGTAATTTCTCAGCATATACCCCAGGTTCAGTCCAGATTTAGTCAATATCTGGAACTTTTGGTGATCTTATCCAATTAGAATCAAGGGTGCAGAAAAACTGTGTAACTCTGAGTGCTATTAGCAAGATTCAATCAGGTCCATTCTACTGTGCTTACTAAGGCAGAAATCTATAGACACATTTTTTTAAAGGTTGGAACATAAAGAATAGCATGGAGGACATTAGGAGAAGGAAGGAAAAATGGTGGGGGGGATCAGAGGGGGAGATGAACCATGAGAGACTGGACTCTGAGAAACAAACCAAGGGTTTTGGAGGGGAAGGGGTGTGGGGTTGGGTGAGCCTGGTGATGGGTATTAAGGAGGGCAAGTATTGCATGGAGCACTAGGTGTTGTACATAAACAATGAATCTTGGAACACTACATCAAAACCTAATGATGTACTGTATGGTGACTAACATAACATAATAAAAAAAGCAAAAGCTTAAGGAATATGTATAAAACAAATAAAAAGGCTGGTGCAACTGTTCCCTAAACCAGAGAGTTGATTAACCAGAACATTCCATTCCTGAGCATTTTGGTTAATCAAAAATATAACCTTTTACTTTAAGCTCTCAATTAATGGACTTAAAAGCCTCAATGGTTTAGACATCAATACTGAGTTGAGGAATTAAATGTACTCTCTTCCTCCACAAGAAAAATAACATTTTATGTAAAACTGATGGAAACCGTGCCTGCTCAACCTTTCCAGTTAAATAGAAAAAACACAAAAGCACTGGCAAAGCAGCTGTCTCAGGCTTAATATATATGCATTTGTATTTCTGCACCTGGTCTTGGCACACAAGATGAGTGTCTCAGGAGCCAAAGACTTTATGTGCTTGCATCCCCAACCTACGTAATACACCCCATTAAATTGGCTGGAGTTTATATTAGGTGTGGATAGGAGGAAATGCCATTCTGCTCAGTGAACTGATCACAACCTCTGCCGGATCAGGAGAGAGAGAAGAGTGCTTGCTTTAAAAATGCAGGGCATGCTTTTCAGACTTTCTGGCTTCTGCTGATGCAAATCCAGGGTAATTTTTTAAAAAGATTTTATTTATTTATTTGAAAGATAGCGAGAACTGGGAACACCAGCAGGGAGAGTAGGAGAGGGAGAAGCCGGCTTCCCACCGAGCAGGGAGCCCAATGTGGGGTTGGATCCCAGGACCCTGGGATCATGACCTGAGCCGAAGACAGACACTTAACAACTGAGCCACCCAGGTGCCCCATACGGTAATTTTTTGACATACAAGAAAAACATATGGGAGCTCCTCAAACGTCCTTTTGACTATAGGATTAATGACCAATTTTACCATGTATTACTGAAATTGTTCAAAACTTGGACTGAAAACACCTATGGTTTTTCTCATGTTATATCTATGTTAATTACGATATCAAAAAGACAAACTATAAAAGGTGTAGCATTATTTTTCACACCTTTTCTGCAAACAGATGACTAGCTACATTCTGAAATTTTGTTCACAATTATAATATACATATATTCTACTCAATATTTTTCAGCTGTAGATTGTGACTTCCTAGCAAATTGATAATTACTTCTCTTTTATATGAAGGGAACTTTCATAATTTGTCTCATTATTTACAAGAAGGTGTCAAGCCCAAGCAGGGAGTAAAGGGGCCTGGCTGGCACTCAGAGGCCTGGCTGGACAAGACTCAGAATCGTTTTGGCCATCCCTAGAAAATGAGCCATGAAATCGAACATTATTCCTAATCCCCAGCAGTACTGTGGCCTTCTTCTGATACCTCAGTCTCAGGCAGTCTGCCTAAGAGGGGACACTGTATGCAGTCAATCTGCAGAAAGGTGCTGAGGACTCATTCTATGCTCTGTCTCTGTACTAAGGGTTATGGACAATGCAAGATGTCCTGGACCCTGCCCTTCAAAAGATTGTGACTCAGTAGAATTCAGCTGTAAAAAAGGACAAATACATATTTTAAAAAAACCCATAAGGTGTGCATGAATAAGCATTAAATTATATGGTATAGACTAAATTTTTTTCAACTTCCAACCACCTAGCCCTAACCTGGGAGCTTTCTTCTAAGAGGCTCAGAGGACATATGATCTCATTTACTTGTATTAGCTCCATGTGAAGTAAGGGAAGAAATGGCTACTCCCAGGGTACTTAGGGAATTGGCCACATACTACAGAGCTTCTAGGGGTCCTATATTCCTCCTAGTGTTCCCTCCCTATCACATACTTTACATTGCTTATTCTAAGTTTCTAAAGCACAATTCTGACAATGCCATTACCCTGCTTAAAAACCCCTCAATATGTCCACGTGCCTATAAGAAAAAAAGACCCTTTCTTAAGCATAGTACATACACAATGCCCTTCCTGGTCTTGGCCCTGCCTACTTTCTCAAGCCTCTTATCTCACCATTCCCGCTCAAGTACTTAGAATTTAACCACACCAAACTTTTCTCCCTATCCCAAACATAGGATATTCTCTAAGTCTCTGGGGCTTTGTGCATATGTAGTCTTGGATGCTGAATGACTTCCACCTCCTCTGCCAACCTCTTACCCATCTTTGAAGATCTGGCTGTGAAGACGGCCCTAAAGTTCTATCTTCCTTTCCCAGGCAAAGAAAGTTGATACCACTTTTGTACTCCAGCAGTTTATTCAAACCTCTACCACAGTACTTATCAGACTGGCTTGCAAATGATTACTTCCTATACCTGTCTCCTCCAGTAGACTATAAACTCTTTGAGAGCAAGGACTGTATCTCTTACTCATCTTTATACCTTCAATATCTAGCACAGTGCTTAGCACATGGCAGGCTCTGAAGAACACATTTTTTTTTATTTTAAAGGTTTTATAGGAATGATGAAATGTCTAAAGAATGGAGAAAAGGATTCTTATTTTTTACCTTGGATAAATGAAAAATAATGTTCAGATTATACATTTACAAATTCAAATGTGATAAACTAGAAAAACTTTGGACCAGATCACTAAAATTGGACTGATTAGTACCCAAATCAGGAAACTTTAAGGCTCCGTGACTCATTGCCCCCCCCACCCGAGAACAAACAAACAAATAGAAAAACAAAGCATGGATTTACGTAGAAGCTGGTTCTAGATCTACAGACATGTCATTAGTTTTTTTTTAATGTGTGATTAAATAGGGAGCTTTGCATTAAATATATCCAAAATATAAAGTTAGATGTGGCAGTTTTGTTTGGTAGACACACTTAAAATGGAAATGACCTGAATCAATTGGCAAAGTGGGTGGATATCACTAGGGCAAAATTTAGTATCAAAACAAAGAAGGTAATTCACTGATGTGAAACAAACAAGGAAAGTGGAAGATACCCGGTAAGGTCGTATTTGAACTGGTTCTCAGTACTGTAACACAGCGACAGACTCCTGGGAGACTGCACAGACCATCTTGATGTGTAGCCTCAAGATCAATTTATGAAATAAACACCTTATTTAACTCATGGCTAGTGCTTTAAGCCAATGGATGGCTTTACATGTAGAAAGAACCATTTGGTGGTATGTTTGTCTTTGTAGTGACAAATACATGCACAAATAGCGATTGCTGTCAGTAGTGTCATCTTTAAATATTGAAGACAGAGATGTAAAAATGGCATGAAGGAATATCAAGATATGCATGTTCAGACATAGATTAGATCTGTAGTTCTTTTTTTTTTTTTTAAGTCAGCTCGATGCCAAATGTGGGGCTTGAATTCATGACGCTGAGATCAAGAGTCACATGCTCTACTGACTGAGCCAGACAGGTATCCCCCAGATCTGTAGTTTTTAAAGTTCTCTTCAGCAGCAGACTGTTTTTTTTTTCCAAATGAAATTTTATGTGAAATCTCAATATAGAAACTAAACAAAATCAACACCGCTCTGGTTAAAGTGTGAGTGGACACTTTTGGGGGGGGGCAGTTTCAGAACCCTATATACTTAGCTACCCCTTTACTTCCTGTAGTTGCCACTGAGGCATCTTAAGGAATCCTGGGATAGATACTGCGGAAAGGTCTCTACATGGAGAGAGAGGTTAGAATAGATGACTTCTGGTTCTTCCTGACTCTGGAAGTCTATAATATGATAATCCTCTCTCTAATATTCAAGATCAATCAGGAAGTCAGGATTTTATTCCACTTATGGAAGAGTCCAGTAGAGGACAATATAAATAACTAAAGGTTTGAGAAATAATAATTACTTATTGGGCACAGGTAACAAAAGAGGTCTATCTCTTCCTTCATCCCTCAGCATATAAATTTGTATTGAGCACTCACTCTGGTCCATAAATAAAGATGATACAGATCATACAGATAAGCCTATTCTCAAGGACTTCACAGTGTGTGTGTGTGGGGGGAAGCAGATGAAAAACACACACACAAAAACAAGAAAACAACATACTCTGACAAGCGACATCACAAAAATAACACAGGAATGTGATAGAGAATAACAGGGTGTGTGTGGGTTACTTCAGATAGGTTGGTCAGGAAAGGTTCTCTGAGCAGGTGATATTTAGACAAAGACCTGAAAAGTGAAAAGAAACTCACCCATACTGAGATGAAGTCTTCCAGGCAGAGAGAACAGCATGGCAAAAGCTCTGAGGCAGGAAAGAACTTCCTTGGCCTATTTGAGAAGCTGAAAGGCCAGTGTGGCTGGAACACAGTTAATGAAGGAGAGTGGTACAAGATGAGTTCTGATGGGACCAAATTACAGGGGCCATCACAAGGAGTTTGGACTTTATTCTCAGTGGGATAGGAAACCTTTGGAGGGTTTTGAGCAGAGGAGGGGTAGGATCTGATTTAAACTATCGTTTCTTCTATGAAGGGATGTTGTATAGGTGATCACAAGCACAAGGAAAATGAGCTGAACTGCATCAGGAGAAATTTGGTAGCACAGAGGAAATTTGGAAGAAATGTTGCCAAAAGAGGTTGAAGAGTTTTATTTTATGGCATAAAGCTAATTTCTTGGCATGATTTAACAAGCAGCCAGAAAGATAATTTCTTTAGCCTTCTTACAGCTGTCGGCTTTGACAATTTATCCCTGGTGTCAGAGTCACTGGGAGAGCTGAGGCTCCATTTAAGTCTCCTCTCAATGCTTCTTTCATTAAATTAATTGCTTCTAAATTGCTTACAGCAAAGCAGCGAAAGATGGCAAAAGGCAGAAATACAGTACTTCCTTTTTCCAAAGACGCCTGGAAATGTGATTTTTCTCTATAAGAACCTACCTTAGTACTTACTTATGAGTTAGTTTACCAGCAAGTTTCCTCCTGGCATCTGAACCTCAAATCCCAACCTTAAGTCAGTCTGACCACCTGTTTTTTCTGTTCCCAAAGCTAGGAAGGTCAAGTGCTGCTGGAACAAACCATGTAACTGCAGATGTACACCATTATACATTTATGGTTCCTGATCACAGGTGGGCCTTCAAGGCTGCTCAGTAATAGTTTACTTCCCTCTAGCTGTCTCTTTTTCACTCCTTACAATGGATACTACAATCTCACTCAGACCCAAGAGCTCCTGATCAAAATTCCATTGCATTCCCAACAAGATCCAAAGTCCTACCATGGTCCACAAGGCCTTGCATGACATGCCCTTTATCAATTCCTCTGTCCTCTCCTGCCCTTGTCCCCATTACTGACTTCGCTCCAGCCACATTGGCCTTCTTGCTCTTCCTAAGAACATCAAATGGATAATGGTGTGCATCTGCAGTTATACGGTCTGCTTTTGAGGGACTGCCAGATTGTTTTCCAAAGTGGCTGTACCATTTTACATTCCTACCAGCAGTGTATGAGGGTTCTAATTTTGCCTGTTCTCACATGCATTTGTCATTATCTGTCTAGTTGATTTTAGCCATCCTGGTGGATGTGAAATGGTATCTTATTGTAGTTTTGGTTTGGGCTTCCCTAATGACTAAAGATGTTGAACATCTTTCCTTGTGTTCATTGGCCATTTGTGTATCTTCTTGGTATAAACATCTATTCAAATCTTTGCCATATTTTAACTGGGCTATTTGTCTTTTTATCGTTGAGCTGGAAGAGTTCTTTATATATTCTGGACACAAACCTCTGATCAGATACAGGCCCATCCATTTTATTGTACTTTATTGTGCTCCACAGATAATGCTTTTTTTTTTTTTAAAACAAACTGAAGGTTTGTGGTGGAAACAGCAAAAGAACTAGAATTAGAAGTGGAGCCTGAAGATGTGACTGAATTGCCACAATCTCATGATAAAACTAATGGACAAGGAATTGCTTCTTATGGATGAGCATAAAAAGTGGTTCCTTGAGATGGAATCTACTCCTGGTAGAAGATTCTTGAAATGGCAACAAAAGATTTAGAATATGATATAAACTTGATTGATAAAGCAGGAGCAGGTTTTGAGAGGATTGACTCTAATTTTGAAACAAGTTCTACTGTGGGTAAAATGCCATCAAACAGCCTCACATGCTAGACACATTGTTGAAAGGAAGAGTCTGTATGCGTGGCAAATGTCACCGTTGTCTTCTGTTAAGAAACTGCCACAGCCACCCCAACCTTACCACCACCCTGATTGGTCGGCAGCCATCAACACTGAGGCAAAACCTTCCACAGGCAAAAAAGAGTATGACTTGCTCAAAGCTCAGATGATTAGAATTTTTTGGCAATAAAGAATTTTTAAATTAAATATATACTTTTTTAGACATAGTTTGTTATTGCAAGCATGAAAGACTACAGTACAAACATACATTTTTATATGCTCTGGGAAACCAAAAAATTCATTTGACTCACTTTATTGTGATATTTGCATTATCGCTGTGGTCTAGAACAGAACCTGCAATACCTCCAAGGTATACCTGTGTATGATTTCTCTCATTCTGTTGGCTGTCTTTTCACTTTCTTGATGATGTTCTTTGAAGCCCCAGAGGACTTAATCTTGATGAAGTCCAATTTATTTATTTTTTTCTTTTGTTGCTTATGTTTTTGGTGATATAGCTAAGAGGGCTTTGCCTAAGCCAAGGTTACGATGATTTACTCCAATGCTTTCTTCTACGAGTTTTATAGTTTTAGCCCTCACATTTAGGTCTATGATCTATTTTAAACTGCTTTGTATGGTAGGAAGTAGAGGCCCAAATTCATTCTTCTGCATGTGGATCCAGTTGTGCCAGCACCATTTGTTGAGAAGACTATTCTTTCCCAGTTGAATTGTCTTAGTACCTTTGTCAAAAATCAATTGACCATAAATGTGAGGGTTTATTTCTGGACTTCCCATTGATCTCTATGTCTAACCTTATGCCAGCACCACACTGTCTTGATTATAGTGTGAGTCCTCCAAATTTGCTCTTTTTCAAGATTGGTTTGGCTTTCTGTAGGTCCCCTGCATTTCCATATGCAGGGATCAGCTTGTCAATTTCTACAAAAAGCCAGCTCGGATTTTGTAGGAACTGTGTTGAATCTGTAAATCAACATGGCAGCATTGCCATCTTAACAATATTAATTTTCTGATCAATGAACATGGGATCCCATTACACATTATATATATGATTCACAGTTACAAGGAACTCAGGTCTAACATAATTTTTAAAGGTGAGATCAAATGAATTTTTTGTAGCTTTATTAAGGTATGATTTAGATACCATAAAATTTACCCATATTAAATATAAAATTCAATGATTTTTAATAAATTTACTGAGTTAGGCAGCCATCACCATAATCTAATTATAGAACATTTTTATCCCTCTAGTAAGATACCTCATATCTGTTACAATTAATCCCTATTCTAACTCCAGAGCCAGGCAACTACTAATCTACTCTCTGTCTGTATAGATTTGTCTTTCTGAACATTTCATATAAATGGAATTATACCTTACGTGGTCTTTTCTGTTTCTTTTACTTAGCATAATTTTTCCTTTTTTTTAAGGATTTATTTTGAGGGAGAGAGAGAAAGAGCGTGCACATGTGTACGAGCGGGGGGAGGGGCAGAGGGAGAGAGAGAATTGCCAGCAGACTCCCAACTGAGCATGGAGCCAGATGTGGGGTCTGATCTAATAGCCCTGAGATCACGTCCTGAGCTGAAACCAACAGTGAGATGCTCAACTAACTAAGCCACTCAGGTGTCCCTACTTAAGATAATTTTTTAAATTAATAGAGATTTCTCGGACAGTTTTAGATTTACAGAAAAACTGAACACATAGAACAGAGAGTTCCCATATACCCTCTCCCTCACATATAGTTTTGCTTATTAACATCTTACATTAGCCTGGTACATTTGTTGCAATACTGATATATTATTATTAAAGTCCATAGCTTAGGGTTCACTCTTAGTGTTGTATGAGTTTTGACAAATGTATGATGTCATGAATCCACAATTATAGAATCATAAAGAATAGTTTCACCACCCTAAAAATTCCCTGTGCTCTCCCTAATTATTCCTCTCCTCCTCTCTGAGCCCCTGGTAATCACTATTTTTTTTTTTACTCTCTCTATAGTTTTGCTTTTTTCCAGAATGTCATATAGTTGAAGTCATACAGTATGTAGTATTTCCAGGTTGGCTTCTTTCACTTAACAATATGGATTTAAAATTTCTTCATTTCTTTTTGTGGCTTGATAGCTCAATTTTTAAAATTTCAGCTTTATTGAGATTTAACTGACATATAAAATTGTAAGATATTTAAAGTGGACATTGTGGTGTTTGGATACTCATACACACTGTCAAAGGAGTGCCCCCATCTAATTAATTAACACATCTATCATCTCACATACTTATCTTTTTTTTGGTGAGAATATTTAAGTTCTAACCTCTTAGCTAATTTCAATCCTACAATACAGGACAGATTTTTTTTTAAAGATTTTATTTATTTACCTGACAGACAGAGATCACAAGTAGGCAGAGAGGCAAGCAGAGAGAGAGGAGGAAGCAGGCTCCCCACTGAGCAGAGAGCCCGATGCGGGGCTCGATCCCAGGACCCTGGAATCATGACCTGAGCCGAAGGCAGAGGCTTTAACCCACTGAGCCACCCAGGCACCCCCAGATTGTTTTTTTATAGTGGAATAATACTCCATATCCATTGTATAGATAAAACAGTTTACTTATCCATTTATCATTGATAGACATCTTGATTGCTTCTAAATCTTGGCAATAAAGAAAAAAAGCTGCTATCAACATTTTTGTGCAGGTTTTTGTATGGACATCAGTTTTCAACCCAATTGGGTAAATACCTATGAGCATGATTGCTGAGCATAACATTTTTGAGGCTCATTCACATTGTAGCATGTATCAGTATTTCATTCCATTTTAAATCCTTGAATAGTATTCTATTATATGGATATACCACATTTTGTTTATTCATACACTAGCTAATGGAAATATGGCTTGTTTTCACTTTCTGCTTATTATGAATAACCAAATAGAATAGAACAGAATTGATGCACTATGAACGTTTATGTGCAAGTCTCTGTGTAGACATAAGTTTTCGTTTCTATTGGGAGTGGAACTGGTGGGATGTATGATAAATTTGTGTTTAACTTCTTAAGAAACTGCTAAACTGTTCTCCAAAGTGTTAAAATAAGCCTTGCAAATTTTCAAAGTGATGGAACAAACAATCCTAAAATTTGTAAGGAACCAGAAAAGACCCCAAATTGCTAAGGAAATGCTAAAAAAGAAAAACAAAGTTAGGGGC